TCACAGACAAGGGACTTGGATTCTGGACCCCACACACAGCGGTCGAGTGCTAAGAGTCGTAGATCACAGACAAGGGACTTGGATTCTGGACCCCAGTGGTCAAGTGCTGAGAGTCATAGTCCCTGCACTCTCTAACGGTATGAAACTTTAAGCCTTGAACAAGAAAGCAGGAGTGTGCTCTATGCCACTTCCTCTATATAAGGCTGGCGAACTCATTATACCCACGACCGGCGATCGTAGGTTTCTCGGAGTGGCAGTGCTCTTAACAGAAGACGCCTCCACGATTCACGTCGAACCACTGCTATATGGCTGCAAGAACGGCACAGACTCCCAAAACTATACAGTAACTCCAGTCTGCGGCTACAAGACCAATGTAGGTGTTCAGATGCTCCAAGTTAAAGTGAAGAAACAACCTGTGGTCGGTCACTGCAACAGAGAGGTTAGCCAAGGAGCCGGGCTTCACACTGGCTAATCTTGATCTTTTCGGCATGTGGTGTTTTCCTTCAAATCAATGACATGATGATCACAGAAACAGGCAAGTTTCATCTGGCTTCAATCCCTACTGGTCACACCATCGGCGTCCTGGCTGGCTTCAAAGGGCATGGAAATAGAGGAACAATGCGCCCGATGCAGATGGGGGTGGGAAACCGCCTCCCCTATCCGGGTATACTGTCCACTTTCTCTCCAACTATGGGAGTGTTAGAAGGACAGATGGAAACATGTAGCAGGAGGAAGCTTCCACTGGTCCCAGGAATGGTCGCAGTTATGGGATGCAGACCGTACAGCTGGACTTCTCCACAGGCTGGGCCTGTGTAGCACTTGCATGCAGGGGTGCCATCATGGACACCATGTGGAAGGCCCGGGCTCGCAACAAATCAGCCTTTCGAGAAGAACGCATGACCCTCCAGGCCCAAGTGGACATGGTGAAGAACCTGATTAGGCAAGCAATCCGAGCTGACTGGCACCATCGATCTGAAGGCCAGAAAGATGGCTTCTGGTTCACACAGACTTCGGGCTTCTGGTTCACACAGACTTCSGGCAAATCTAACAACTTGGTTTCGTCACAGGTTGAAGGAGACCTAAAGTTTACAGATTGGCTCCTCCAGGAGAAAGGCGGACAGTAGTGGCCTGAGATACCCGGGAGGCTCTCTAAACAGACCGCTATCAGGCCCTGTATCTTAATTACTTTCCATATATAGGAACAGCACCTTTTATTAGCTGTCAGGAAAGTTGCTCATTCATTCTGATATAGACATCTAGATCTAAGTATTGGAAACCGTTTATTATCAGGTTAGTAAAAGGATTCCGAAGTGTTTTGAAGGCTAAAAGAGTTGGTAGTATGAAGATTTTTAAGTTGTGAGGGCAGGTAGGTGCTGTAGGATAGCCACCTGGGAATACTGAGCAGCATTGCTGCTATAGTCTGCACATCATCAGCCATGGGACCTCTTCCTACATGCACAGATTCGAACTGGCGCCCTCAGCCTCAAGAGCTGAGTCTTTTAACCACTACAACCATGACACAACGTACAAAAGTGGATCCATGCCGGTCATGATATCCAGCCCACCCCTGCATGGCTGTTGTGTCCTTCAACTCACACACACACACACACAACACCACACAAGGCATCCGCCACACAGGCAGTAGTCGCACACTCCGCTCTCATCCAGCACAACTGCTTATCCACRGGCCACCACATCCAGGTATAATTTCCGGGCTGGTTACCCGGTTGAAGTGCAGTCTGTACTTTATCAGCCACAGGACCTCCTCCGTGCACGCACGGATTCGAACGGGCGCCTAGACTAGCCAGGCAGATCTGCTTTTTTTTGTTTTTTGTTTTAATTTCGACCATTTCTCGATTTACACGTGTCATCCTTGCACAGGGGCCATGCTAATCTTCTCTGTGTCGTTCCAATTTTAACGGATGTCCCGAAGGACAGCCAGATAGATCTGCTACTAAGGCTGTTTTTTTTTTTTTTTTTAACTGCATCTGTGACCGCTGCACAGTTCAGAATTCGCAGAAATAACAGTCCACTCAGCTCCACTGCAAGATTGGGCCAAGACCACTTAGAAACTGCAAGAAAAACAGTAAACTATGGCCTACCCATTCAATAATTGGCAAAAACGGGAGGTGGCCTGGGGTAGTGGTACTCCCTTTTTCCCGTGCCCTGGCCTGGGAGCAGGTACCGGTAGCAGGCCCTCTCATTTTTTTGGGTTTTTTTTCCCTGTTTTTGGCTTCTGGCGGGACTCGGCTCGGAGGGGTAGTGGTGGACTGCGCTTTCGCATGGTGGCCACCGTTTTTTAAATTGCGCAGCAACAGTCAGCGGTTTCCAGCAGGTCTTATGATAAGGTTTGCACAGTTGGTGAGTAGCGAGTTTTGCCGGGATAACCCTGGGTTGAATCTGACGTCCCCGGCCTCCTCCCACAGTCCCAGTGAACTTGTAACAAATTGGCAAGCTTTCCAAAAAAAAATAAAAAAATTGTGTGGCACCTGTCGTTCATTCAGGGGCAATGCTCCCACCTTGCACAGAGAGGGAGAGAGAGTACAGCGGTTGGTATGGAGAGAGAGTTTTCCAGCCATGCACACAGAGAGATAGAGAGTGGCTACTTCCATCAATAGGATGAGAAAAATCGGAATGAATCTTCCACTAGAACATGGAAATATACACTGCATTCCAGCCATGCGCGCAGAGAGATAGGTCTCATAGGGAGATGCTACTTCTATCCTCAGGATGAGCAGAATCTGAATGAATATTGGACTAGAACATGGAAATATACACTGCCACTTTTTTGTTTGTTTGTTCGTTTCAAATTGTTTGTGTTTGTGTGTGCGTGGGGAGAGAGAGAG